CCTCCCCGCCCTCCCCACTCGTTCCTCATTCGAGGGTAACGGTCCGAAGAGAAGCCGGGGGAGCGGCCGGAGGGCGGTACCGTCCCGCGAGCGCCCAGGAGCCCCGCCCAGCCTCCGCAGTGTCGGCGAGCGGACGGAAAAGCCTACGCGCATGCGCCGCCGGGGTCGCGGCGGGCCTGAGGAGCCGGCGTGCGAGGCCCGGAGGACGATGGGAGTTGTAGTCTGAGTGTTGGGGCCTGAGCTGTGTGCCCCTGAGAAAACCTTTTTCCTCTGGAGGACTACTGCTGCGTTGCACAACCTCGCTCTGGAGGCGTTAGGAGAGCTAACGATGCCCCTTGCCCTCAGAACCTCAAAAACCATCTTTTCAATAAAAGCGCTTAAGATACCGTTCATGATTTCTTGAAAAATCACAATCCAGCTATACCATATGTCTAGGTATGACCCCTATTGAAATTTTTAAGATGTCTGTTTCCAAAGCACCGTATTCTCAAATTTATATATTTTGTGGTAAATTCCTTTTTCTTGTCCTTAAAATGTCTTTTTACCGTAGGTGCATATATCAGCTCATCATGTTGTGCACCTTAAATATATACAATTTGGTCAATTATACCTCAATGAAGCTGGGGGAAAAAATGCTATTTTCACTTTTTAGTTAGATTGAAAGTTCAACTAAAGAAAATGTCTAATTTTAGGCCTGGAGAAAACAATGAGAATCTTTTTTACTCTGTTGCCAATGTTTTCCCTACTACTGCCACCAGAATATTTTTCTTAGCATGTTCAATACATGAACAAAAGTGTTCCATAAATTTTGATTCATCAATGCTTTGTTTGAAAGTTATTTCCTGTAGCTTATCTGTGCCCTGAGTTTGCCTGGGTCCTTACACCTTACAAATGTAAATGTTTAAGCATCATCCTTAGCAATGAATCAGAACTGTATTGAAAACCTGAGCCAGGAAATTTTTTTTCTTTTTTCTTTTTTAAAGATTTTATTTATTTATTTATTCATGAGAGACACAGAGAAAGAGGCAAAGACACAGGCAGAGGGAGAAGCAGGCTCCCTGCAGTGAGCCTGACGTGGGACTCGATTCCAGGACCCTGGGATCTTTACCTGAGCCAAGGCAGGCACCCCCAGGAAATTTTCTTTTATCAAATGACACATAAAATTAAGTCTGGTTAAGGGTAGCCCTGGTGGCCCAGTGGTTTGGCGCCGCCTGCTGCCTGGGGTGTAATCCTGGAGACCTGGGATTGAGTCCCACGTCGGGTTCCCTGCACAGAGCCTGCTTCTCCCTCTGCCTGCCTGTCTCTCTCTCTGTCATAAATAAATAAATAAATAAATAAAATCTTTTAAAAATTAAAAAAAAAAAGTCTGGTTAAAAAGATCCAGTAATCAAAATGTAAGAACAACTTTTTTGAGATATACAGTACGTAAAGACTGAAATGTTTAGAAAACAAAAACAAAGCAAAAATCCAAAAAAGATCCAGGTAACAACATGAGAAATAAATTTTCATTTAAAATGTAAACCTCCTTGTGTGTCTAGGTGGCTCAGTCAGTTAAGCATCTGCCTTCAGCTTAGGTCAGGATCCTGGGGTCCTTGGATTGAGTCCTCCATCTGGCTCCCTGCTTCTTGGGGAGCCGGCTTTTCCCTCTACCTCTGCCCGCTACTCCTTCTGCTTGTGCTCTGTCAAATAAACAAAATCTTAAAAAATAATAAAAATAAAATGTAAGGGCAGCCCCGTGGCTCAGCAGTTTAGTGCCACCTTCAGCCTAGGGCCAGATCCTGGAGATCTAGGATCCAGTCCAGTGTAGGGCTCCCTGCATGGAGCCAGCTTCTCTCTCTGCCTGTGCCTGTTCCTCTCTCCCTCTCTCTCTGTGGATCTATCATGATTAAATAAATAAAATCTTTAAAAAAACAAATAAAATGTAAACCTCCTTAAAGTTTAATTCTCTTTGAAGCCTGTGATTAATAACTCTCAGGCTCACAGCTTTCCTGTGAATTCTTCCTTCCTGAGGTATTAATGTTTTTCTCAGCCAGGCCCGCTACTCATTCAAATCTCGGACTTTCTCTTTTTTTTAAATGAGGTATGCCTGTAATTTATTATTCAGATTCCTCTGCAAGATTAAAATCTTTTTCACATAGTATCACCATGCTCCTTGTTCTTGGTCCTCTTTTCCAAGCACTCATTCAAGCATTTTCTTACCTCCCAATTGAGGTCATTACAATGACCAAAAAAATCTCAGAATGCTGCGGTGTTTGTGAGATTCCTTAAGCAAGTTTATCAAGACATTTCATTATTCAGTGTGCAAGTGTGGAGATAAGCCAGGATGCATCTTTAGGAGGTGATGAAGTAGAGCAGAACCACCTTACTAGAGGCCACACAGGGGCCAGGCCAGCTCCGGGTGGCAGCGAAGGCTCCTGCACTCTCCACAGCTAACCCTGCTGGGCTGGGCCAGCCCGCGTTGCTCTCCCAGACTTTCTCATATTTAAAAAGAAATGATAAGTTTCTGCAACATCCAATTTTGCTTCATACCACAGTGCATTTTCATTCACTTACATACACTAATACTAACATACTATACCACTTTAAACTTCCGTTTCTGAGCAGATCTCAGAAGATGTTAATATCCAGAGAACCTCAAGGAAAAACTCCTCAATATATTTAAACCAGTCTGCCTTTTCTCCTCTATTACAATTAGGAATATTTCCAGATCAAAGTCTTTTCATTTAATTTACACAGCAGGTAGCACAGAACAATAATAATCCTTTTTTGGGGAGCAGGGGCAGGTAGTGGGTTACTAATAAAGACAAAATTACAGTCAACATTACAAAACATTGGTAGCAGAGTTCATTTACTGGCTTTAGTGCTTAAAAAGCTTCCATGCAGATCCTTTTTCTAGTTATTTGCAGAATTAACATTTCTTACATCATTATCCCCTTAATAGGACAGGGTAACACTTTAAAATTCTTCAGATCCAGTGCTAAGAACCCTGGAAATGAACAGGCTAAGATTTAAAATTGCTTGACAGGAAATAATTTTCTTTTCTCAGTAGGTCAACAACTATCCTCAACTTTTCTGTTGAGATAGTCAGATTATCACTGTCTAACAGAAACACATCTATCACTTTCCAGGAGCAGTCTTGATAAATCAAATTTATGCTGACTTAAGTTACAGCTGCTTCTAGAGTCAAGAATCTTGATGGAATAGAAAAGACTGTTATCATTAGAACACAATCTCCGTAAATCAACTGTTAAATCGGCAGCACTAAGCAAATATTCAAATCCACAATGTCGAAAGCCACAAATGGGAAGATTGGAAAATAATGAGTTAATTTGGCAGAGAGGAAGATGCAAGCTAGCATTTCTTCAAAGCTTATACATTTTGCCTCATTGTCCCTCTACTATGAATTGTCCTAAGTCTTAAGAAATCTCCCAGGGGTTTGTTTTTTAAATTAACCCCAACAGTAACTTAAAAAACACCAAAATCCTGCTTGAATCTTTCATACCTCACCTCTGAAATTAAGATCCATGTAGAGTTCCACAAAGCAGCTGACTGCCAAGGAGGATATCGAGTTATCTCTAAGGGGGCACCTGGGGGGCTCAGTCAGTTCAGCATCTGCCTTCAGCTCAGGTCATGATCTCAGGGTCCTGGGATGGAGCCCGGTATCTGGCTCCCTGCTCAGTGAGGAGTCTGCTTCTACCTCTGCCTCCACGCCCACAGTGCCCCCCCCACCCCAGCCACTTGTGCCCACACACTCTCTCTTGTGCTCTGTAAAGAAAATAAAATCGGGATCCCTGGGTGGCGCTGCGGGTTTGGCACCTGCCTTTGGCCCAGGGCGCGATCCTGGAGACCTGGGATCGAATCCCACGTGGGGATGGAGCCTGTTTCTCCCTCTGCCTGTGTCTCTGCCTCTCTCTCTCTCTATCTGTGTGACTATCATAAATAAATAAAAAATGTATGTCTAAAAAAAAAAGAAAATAAAATCTTTTTTTTTTTTAAATATTTTATTTATTTATTCATGAGAGGCACAGAGGGAGAGAGGCAGAGGGAGAAGCAGGCTCCCTCCCAGGAGCCCAGTATGAGACTGGATCCCGGGAATCCGGGATCAGGCTCTGAGCCAAAGGCAGATACTCAACCACTGAGCCACCCAGGTGCCCCAGTAAATAAAATCTTAAAAAAGAAAAGAAAAGAGGGATGCCTGGGTGGCGCAGCGGTTTGGTGCCTGCCTTTGACCCAGGGCGCGATCCTGGAGACCCGGGATCGAATCCCACGTCGGGCTCCCAGTGCGTGGAGCCTGCTTCTCCCTCTGCCTGTGTCTCTGCCTCTCTCTCTCTCTCTCTCTGTGTGACTATCATAAATAAATAAAAATTAAAAAAAAAAAAAAAAAGAAAAGAAAAGAAAAGAAAAAAGCTAGGTGTATGTGAGGAGACAATTCCTTGATGGAGGGAACTAAAAGCCTGGGAATATTTTCAGAGAGTCAGTAAACAAGTATAAAGGCCTTTGTATTCACAACAGTTCTACTCGTAACACAGTATACATACATGGATATCCACCACTAATCCCTTTCAGATTTCAAGCTGGAAGACGGCTTAGAGACGAGAAAAATGAGACCAAACTGGGTAAACGACTTTCTTAAAATTATGCAGAGGGGGAAAATGCTGGTCTCCTGACTTCACTGCATTCCCTCTACAGTATAGCTGCTATTATTTTTCAAGCAACTCCTCCAGCTGAGTCAAATGTCATTTCAAGGGGCAAGAAATTATTTAAGTGACACAGGGGTATTTTTCAGGGAATGCTTACACTTGCAGGAGTCTCAACCATCCATCCTGTTCCCCAACACCCTGTTGCACACAGCACTACTGCTACAGCAGCGACTCGAGTTTTTCTCCCAAGTGGTCTTGTACCCCTAGGGTCCTCTTCCCTCTCACCTTCTTTTTTTTGTTTGTTTTTTTGTTTTTGTTTTTAAGCCCCTACCTTTCCCCCCACAACATACAAATCAAAAACTCGTTCAAATCATTTTAATAACCTCGATCTGATCCAAAATGTGAAACGATTCTAATTAGTTCCCTTCAGAGGGATGCTACCATGACTGCTTCACAGGAGCAGGCTCGAAGGCAACGAGGACACCGGATTCCCAAGCGCAAGGGTGCTGAGAAGCCTTCACGGCTCCCAGTTTGAAGAGCCTCTGGTTTCGGAAAGTCCCTGAGGGGTAGCAGGAGAGACACGAGAGCTAAGTAAGGGACCTCAGAGCACAGGGCGCGGCTGCTGGGTCATCAGCACCTTGAAGCGTTTCTTGACGGTGATTCGGTGACGGGAGTACTTGTCATCAGGGGAGAAGCGAGCGGGATGCGCTGAACAGGTCTGCTGTCCCATAGGGTCAAACTTCTGCCCGAAGGAAAAAGAAAATTTCAGAACAGGAATGGCGGGAAAACGCCATCAAGAGCGTCGACAGGGGGATCCCTGGGTGGCGCAGCGGTTTGGCGCCTGCCTTTGGCCCGGGGCACGATCCTGGAGACCCGGGATCGAGTCCCACATCAGGCTCCCGGTGCATGGAGCCTGCTTCTCCCTCTGCCTGTGTCTCTGCCCCCCCCCCCCGTGTGACTATCATAAATTAAAAAAAAAAAAAAAAAAGAGCGTCGACAGGGAGGCGGAGGCTAGGGGACAGGGAGGCAGCTGAGCAGAAAAAGGTAAACAAGAAGGCAGGAGCCGGGCGCCCACCGCTCGAGGTTTCGGGCTTTCTAGGCCCCTCACCCACCCCGGCAATCGGGGGCGTCTCCGCCGCTCCTCCACCCTGCTTGTCGACATGACTATGTGCCACCTGCTTTCTTGTCTCACCTTAAGCGTATAGACCCGGTCTCCCTGCTCGTTGAGGTAATACTGGAGAAACATGACCACGCGGCACACACACAACCCCCAACGCGGCCCGCAGCTCCCGCGGAGACAGTGTCACGTGTCCGTCAAACTCCTTCCGGTGCGGCCGGTAGTCCCTCTCGAGGCATGCCGGGAAGTGTAGTCCATTCCGGCCTCTCTCCCGCTGACCAGGAGGGGGCGAGTTAGTGCGGGAGTTGGCCCAGTTGCAACCCAGCTGCAGCCTTGCAGGCGTCGGCTTCCAAGTTGTTGCAATTTTGCGGGCGTTCTGAGACACGTGGAGTGTGCCCACTGTGTGCAGGACGCTGCTAGGAGCTGGAGGGGGGTAGGAGTGAATATGGCTTGAACATGGATGCATGGAATCCTGCCTCTACTCGGGATGCGCGCCCATTTCACAGGCAGTGGGTTTCTGGGGCCTGTAGAAACAAAGGCTCCGGGATTCGGAGCCCCTTTATCTTAGGGTAGAAAGAAGAAAGTTTTCTTCCCTCCCCTCTTTTCCATCCGGTTCCCCCGTCCTATTTTAAAGTATTGGCGGTAACGAGTGCATGATGGGTATTCGATATTAGGTACAGGGAAGAGGGCGTGAAGTTATTTTATGAAACGGGTGAAGTATATGTTAGTGGTCGAGCCGAGATTTAAACTCAGGTCTCTTTGCCACAAATCCAGCGCTCTTTCTTATAGTGGTGAGTAACAATAATAGCATAATACGATGCACCTCCTAGGGTTATTTCGAGTTTTTAAAAGAACGTAGAAATTCTCTTTATAGGACTCTGATTTCTTTATGACCATTGGAGCCCAGTTATCATTACATTAAAGATTGTTGTTGCAGTGTTATTTACAATGGTAAAAGCATTGGAACATTTGTTAATTTTAATTTTGTTAATTTTGATTTTCTCGATTAATTTTATAACCAAGAAAAGCCTGAAAGGGTTTTTCTTTTCTTTTCCTTTCTTTTTTTTTTTTCTTTTCTTTTCTTTCTTTTCTTTTCTTTCTTTCTTTCTTTCTTTTTCTTTCTTTCTTTTTAAAGAATATAGTCTGTATTTATTTGTAGTTGCATAAAATATCTCTGTAAGGATTCACAGGAAACATATTATTGGTTTTCTCTGGGATAAAGAACTTGGTTCCAAAAAGAAAGAGGGAGGGAGAGAGAGAAGGAGAGAGAGAGAGAGAGATAGAAATCAGTTCCAGGGGAAAGAAGTAGGAAGGACACTTGCTGTATATTCCATTTTGCATAGTTTGACTTTAGAACCATGCGGATTTATTTCCCGTTTCAAAAACTAAAATCATTTAACAAAACCTTTTAACAACAAAATAAATTAACAAAAAAGGACTTTTTGGTTTTGGAATTTCAGGCTGAATGGCAGTTTTGGATAGAGTGGTGCTTTTCAGGCAAGGGTAAGCTGAACCTTCTGTGGACTGCAGGGCTGATGGTCGTGGACTGTCAGGGACTGCAGGACAGCTTTGTAAGCACATGTGTCACAGCCAGATGCCCAGGGTTTCATTTTTTTTTAATTTTTATTTATTTATGATAGTCACACAGAGAGAGAGAGAGAGAGAGAGAGAGAGAGAGAGAGAGAGAGACAGAGACACAGGCAGAGGGAGATGCAGGCTCCATGCACCGGGAGCCCGACGTGGGATTCGATCCCGGGTCTCCAGGACCGCGCCCTGGGCCAAAGGCAGGCGCCAAACCACTGCGCCACCCAGGGATCCCTGCCCAGGGTTTCTGAGACAATCCTAGTTTCAAACATTCCATTTATTTGATCCTTAGATACACAGACAATATGCTCTGAATTTGGTTTAGAAAATATAGGCAATGTTGAATTTAGTTAAGGGTCTGCCACAACCTATTCATAGAAAGTCAGGTACAGAACTGGGTAGGATTGGAAGGCACAAAACTGTATATATTGGGGAAGAAACGTATAGGTAATCGAGATGTAAAGCTGTATTGTTGGGAATCAAAAAGAATTTATAAATTGCCCAAAAAAGACACAATCAACAATCAAGTTGCTCTAGTCTGGCTTGGGGGGCACTCCTGGTTACTGCCTGCATCCCAGAGCCCCTTGGAACCTCTCTACCTGTGCCCCAGCCCCCCTCCCCTCCCCCACTGCAGAATGCCTTGAGTCCTAGATTCTAATTCCGTTCTGATCTGGTCTTTATCTTCCCTTCCTTGGATCCCTGTATCTACTGGGGCCAGGTTGCCCTCTGGGTCCTGGACCCGACTGTCTCATTCTGGAGGCTTCCGGACAGCCATAGTTAGTGTCCACACCTGAGAGGATGGCTTCGGATGGAGGTAAGTCTGCCAGCAGTGGAGAAGGTCCTGGCGATCTGCTCATGTCCTTGGGGATTCAGATTTGACACTTTACCCGGGGACCAGCTTTTGGGGCTGACCTCGAGGGATGTAAGAGCACTAGAGCCCTGCAAAGCCCTCTGTCTTGGGGAGGCTGGGGAAGGAGACTGTGCCATTACCATGGAGATTAGGGGATGAAGAGGGCCTCCCCGGAGGCAGATCGAAGCCCCTCAGAGGAAGGTGCTAGAGTGTAGGAAAGGAATGGCAGTTAGCAACTTGTTTCTTGGAAGAGGGATCTCTCCAACGTGTGTTTGTGTGGCAGGGGCAGGGCCGTGTGTGGCACAAGTACTTCCCCGGAGGGTTCAAGGGGAAGGTCCAAATCCCCATTTCTTTGGGCAACTGGAGCCTGCTCTAGAATGATGCCCTGAGAGCACTGGGTTGGAGCCAGTCTCGATCTTGTCGAGTGGGGTGGGTGGAGATGTTAGCTGCAAAACTGTTCCCCGGGTCATCTGTTGCCTCATCTGTAGAGCAATGTCCTCCCAAAAGTGAGACTGGAAGGTACCAGATGGGCCTCTGCTCAGAGTCTCGTGGCTCCTTTTCACCCTGGTGATGGCTCTCTTGCAGTTGTGGGGCGGCTTCCCTTGCCCTCCCAGGCCTGGAGACCTAGGTATCTCCAACCACAGTGAGAGCTGGGGCTTCCCTGAGATGCTTTTGGCTTTTCAGGCCTTTAGTCCTGTTTCGCATTGTGGAGAACTCCCAGGCTTCTGCTCTGTGATCAGGGTGATGAGTTGTCCCCTTCATGGTCAGGGAGTGGACACTCAGTGTGGTTAGTTTCCCCGGGGAATGTTCTTTAGTAGAGGGGCAGAACACTTGTATGAAATTGGGCAAATCACTTGTAACATGGTGAAAAATCTCAAGACACATGTCCTGAGGAATCACATACACATCTTATGTATGTGCCCTTGGGTTCTTAGGCCAGAGTCCACGTGGGTCCCCAGCACACACTGTGGTTAGGACTTCACTGTCCCTCCTTCACAGTGGACCCTAAATTTCTGCTCTTAGGCGTCCGAGCAGAAGGACTGCAGACAGCCTACATCACCAGACTGTAACATGTCCTGCAGCTGCTTAGAGCTCTGGAAACCTCCCTTCCTAGACCGCCCTCACAGCACTTGTTTCCTGGTCCTTATCTCTAGTCATTCCTGGCTGTTGTGTGACAAAATTTCTGGAAACCAAACATCTAATCCACCCACTCTGTCCAGGAAACAGTGCCTGTGTGAGCTGTGGTGGGGACCTCAGAGCCGTCGGGCGTGGGGCTAAGGTGGTTTGAACGTGTTTGGAGCGGGCGGGATGGGCCCCAGCACTTTTGTGCTGGGTGCAGTGTGTAGGGAGTGTGAGCCCAAGCGCCCAAGGGTCACGCAACTTCTCTAGGGCAAGCACTCTCACCCAGTAAGGGACGTCAAAATCCCTTTCAGAGGACAGTTGCCAACGCTGCAGGGTCCCCCAGCACACCCTTCCCTCACCTGTTGGGGCCGGGCGCTCTGAGTGCAGGGACTAAGTGGGATTCCAACGACCCACCCTCTGGCATCCTCTGCTCCTCCTTCATTCCTTCTTTTTCTTCTCATCTCAACAGCACCTCCACTGCCGGGACAGGATGTGACCCTGAAACCCGGTGCTGCCCTGTGTTCTTTCAGTGCACTCCCCTTCCCCCAGTCTGCTCCTGGCCCACCAGACCAGTCCCCCTGGGAGCCTCCTCCACAGCCCCCCCTGCCTCCAGCATTCTCTGCAGGGAACCCTCTGGTGCTCTCTGCTCTCCTAGCCCATTGTTGGTGACAGGGGATGGGGGCCCTGGGCCCACTGTGGCTGGAGATGTTGTCAAAGTCACGACGGAAGGGGCGCCGGTGGAGCCCTCTCAAACTCAGAGTTTCATCCTCACTCAGCCAGCCCTCAGTTGGATCGCTGCAGGGGCCCCTGAGGGTCCTCCCCGTCAATTCGTGACAGCCCCTAACGTGAAGACCCTTCTGCCCACCAAAGCCATTGCAGTGAGCCCAGAGGGCCTCCCGGGCCTTCCTGCTCAAGCTCCAACACCAGCTGCCCAACTGGCCTCCGTCGTGCGCCCAGAACAGGCTTGGCCAGGACCACACAGGGCAACCGGAGAAGGAGGTCCTTCGGCCGCCCAAGCCAAGCCGTCACTGGGTGACCTCTCCTATACCTCCAAAGGTGTTTATGAGAACTTCCGTCGCTGGCAGCGCTACAAAGCCTTGGTGCGGAGGCACCTATCTCACAGACCTGATGCAGAAGCCCTTTCCTGCTTTCTTATGTAAGTGGGGAGATCTGAGGTTAATTGTGCTAGCACTCCCAACAAGGAGTGCTTTGGGGTGGAGCAGGGATTGTGTGATTTAGGGGTCCTTGAGGGCAGGTCAGGAGGGTGCTAGAGATACTCTGTGAACAGGAAAGCATAAAGGTGATGCTGCTGCTGCTGCTGCTGAGCCTGTTTACCCACTTCCCAGGCTATATAAGCCTGCAGGTGTCTTCTCTCCAGTGATCCTCACAGCCCTGAGTTCAGGCGGGCGAGCATTTTAACATAATCCTCATTTGTAGAGGAGAAAACTGGAGCTCAGAGGTTTCCTGTCCTTAAGCTGAGGAACCGTAAGTGGAGCTCAGGTCTCTGGCACCTCATCTGAGGGCCTTCCCATCTATTTTATTACTGTCTGACCTCACACTGAGCCATCCAAACCAGCAGGATGGCTGTTGGGCCCTGACCCTTCCTGGAGAGTGGAGGCTGCTGTGGGGCTGGGCACAGGACGTGCTGCCCCCACCCCCCACTGTCCCCCTAGCTTATTCAGAATTCCAGTCGGTATAGTAGGCAGGTGGTAGAGTAGCCTAGGGACCCTGGCCTAGCCTCCGCTGCTTGTGGGACTGCTGATCCTGAGCGCCCCACACTGAGGCCTGAGCCCAGTTTTCTCATTTGGAAAGGGGCTGGTTGTACCTACCTCAGAGGGTTGCTGAGATGATGGAATGAGTCAGTATCTGTGACACTTGTAGCAGCGTGCCTGGCACAGACAGGGCCTCGTGGAGTGGCAGCTACTATCATCAGTACTGTTGTTATAAACGGGCAGTGTAGACAAGGGGAAGAATTCCCAAATGCCAGGGCTGCCTGTGAGTGGATGCCTAGCAAGGGACCTCAGGGTCAGGGGCTGCCTGTGGTGTTCATAAGGACGAGTGACTAGCCAGCTGTCTGGGGGAAGCTTCTCTTCTTCCCACCCAGACCCGCTGCCTCCCCCACCTGCACGGTGCTCCGGGCATCCTATGTCGACCACTGTGTAACACATACCAGGTTTTACTGGGCTGGAGAGACAGGTGTACTGTTCCTCAGCCTCTGGGCTTCTAGAGGAGTCTCCCCCTCCCCCCAACTCTGCAGTGAATACCTCTAAAGGCTCCCCCAGAGTCTTGGGTGTAGACCACCTTCCACTCCCTGCTTTCTCCAGATGGCCCTGGGTTCTCGTGGAGCCCGGCAGGCTGCATTTCTCCCTCCTGGCCTCTCCATGCCCTCCGTACTCAGGGGCCCCAGGTAGGGTCTCCTCCAGAGTACGATCCAGATTCTTGGCAACAGTCGCCCAGGAAGCTGGTTGAATTCGCGGTGCAGAGATCCTGGGGCCCTGGAATTTCTAATTAAAACATGCTCCAGCAGGTGATTCCAGGCATGTGCTTGAGGATGCAGGCAGGTCAGAAGGGCAAAGATGAATCACGAAGAGCTTGAGGAGTATTGACAGTGGACTGTGTGAAGGGCATCCCAGAGGCAAGAAGACACTTAAACACCAATAAATAAAAACGCCACACAGCCTTTCATCCTTTCATTAGACATTCATTTGGGTCAGGGAGTGCCCCCCCTTTTTTTTTTTGAAAGTAAGAGCCTTTGGGCAGGGTTAAGCCTACTTTACCGTGAATCCACTGCTTTAATAAGTGCTTTAACACTTATTATATCATATTAATTATATTATATATTATATTATTATTATAATAAGTGCTTTAACAAGTGCGTTCTTCCTAATGTTTAGTCAAGGGTGGCACTGTGAGGACTGGGGTGCTTGATTTCAAACTTTGGGGGTGGCATGGGCAGACTCAGTCATCTGATCTTGAGTGAGATTTGAAGATTTCAGCAGGAAGAAAGTCCAGTGTGGTAGATGGATGGATGGGAGGTTGGGGGTCTGGAGGTCCAACAAGCGGTGGAGCGTGACAAGGATCGGGAGGCAACTTAGATCTACTGAGGAACAGTGGGGTATGTTGAGGTGTTTGTGAGGACGGGTGGATTGGGGGTCCACTGTGGAACGTGACTGACCTGATGGGGGTTTTAGCCCCGTGCTTCGCTCCCTGGCCCGGCTGAAGCCTTCTATGACCCTGGAGGAGGGACTGCCAAGGGCTGTGCAGGAGTGGGAGCACACCAGCAACTTTGACCGGATGATCTTTTATGAGATGGCAGAAAAGTGAGTCTGAGCAACCCCCATTCTCCTGAGGGGTGCTGGGTGGCTGAGGGACAGGGGCATGAGTGATTATTAAAAGGGGTGCCAGGAGGACTGGTATAGACTAAGGTGGGGCCTCCTGGATTTTCACGGCTTCCACCACCTTGACCCTCGGGTTTTCCTGTCCTCCCTTGGAAGCTCCCCCTCCTTCAGATCCTGAATCGTACAGGTCCTTGATACTGAAGCTCCTAGAATGGGGTTGGGGTCCAACTGGTGTAAAAATGCCTTGCCAAAGGGACCTACCCATGGGGAGGTGAGCCCTCCAAGGCAGGTTCTCTCCTGTCTCACTGACCAGGTAGCTAGTGGCTGCTGATGCAGACCTTGAGACCACTCCTCCTCTGGAAAAACTGCCACAGAAATCCCCATTATCCCAGGGAGAGCCTGGTGTGTGTAGAGCTTGGTCAGGCCAAGGTCCTGGATGCCCACAGTGGTCTTCTGGTTCTCCATGATGGTCTCCTTGGTTAAAGAAGCAATTCTGAGGAAAATTAGCCCTTTCTTCTGAAGCTTAGTTTCCATTTCTTCCCTTGTAGACCTCTTAGAATTAGTGTTCCTGGCCCCCCAGGCCCGGCCTCAAGACTTGGGTCTCAGCACTGCCTCCTGGTGGGAAATGCCTTGAATTGCAAACCCCCCCCCCCCCCCCCCCGGCATTGTTTTGGGGTTTCAGGCATCCTTTGTGGCTGTTGGTGGAGGCAGACGGAGCCTAGCCGCCTAGCTGGGCTGGCAGTTGGGACCCTGTTGGGCCTTGGCCGGAGGCTATATTAAGGCTGTATTAATTGCCGCTGGATACACTCCATGATGCTGGGTGAGATCAGGGATGACATAGAAGTGAAAGCCGTGGCTGTGTCCTGGAGAAGCTTGACAAGCTCTAGACCGTTCATTTATCTCAACAAGTTTCCTAAGTGGTGGCTGCTGGTCAGGGATGTTGTGAGGTTTGCCCAGAATGGTTACTGGGCTCTCTGTGAGCAGCGCCCTCCCGGTGTCTGGCCTCCTCGGCACTGTCCAGGCCTTCCTCACCCTCTGCAGGTTCCTGGAGTTTGAGGCTGAGGAGGAGATGCAGATTCAGAACACGCAGCTGAGTAGTGGGCCCCAGGGCCTGCCTCCTGCAGCCCCTCTGAAACTCGACCCTCCGGGGCTTGTGGCCCCTGAGCTTAGCCAGCAGCCAGGTGAGGCTCCCCACCTCCAACAAGGGCCATGGACCAAAGGCTCCGAGGGGGTGTGCACAGAGCAGGCGTGCATTAGGGGAGGCAGCGCCTTTGCTTCTGCTCTGAGGTTCCACACAGGACACACGTGCACAGCAGGCTGGGTCTCTGGGTCCCTTCGTCCCAAACTTTGACCTTGGCCCAGTGAACCCATGGCTCTCTAAGTGAGACGTACATGACTGCATAATAGCTCATCTGCCTGGGAAGTGGGGGCTGGGTCAGAGGACGTCTCGGAATCTCAGGGCTTTCCAGATGCCTCAAACAGTGCTTCTCTGAGAGCCTCCGGTCCTCTCCCGGGCTGGTCCTGCTTCAGGCCGGCCCCAGCCCATGACCATCACGGCGAACCCGGATGGCTGCCCCAACTGACCCGGGGTGGGAGGCAGAGGCCACGGCCCCTCTGCCTCTCCCCATCCCTCCCCCACCCCTCTAGTGTACATTCCCAAAAAGGTGGCTCCCAGGGCACGCGCCCCCCGCCGGCGGCAGCGCAAACCCCAGAGGCCTGTGGTCCCTGAGGCGCCCAAGGAGGTCCCGCCGGAGGCTGTGAGGGAGTACGCTGACATCGTGGAAGGGCTGCTGGGGGCGTCGGACTGGAAACAGGACGACGAAGAAGAGCAGCAGCAGGACGAGGAAAGGATGTGTCCCGACCCAGGCCTCCTCAGCTACATCGACGAGCTTTGTTCTCAGGAGGTCTTTGTCTCCAAGGTGGGTCGAGTTTGCAGTCTGGTTTCTGGTGGAGCCTGGGGTGGAAACCAGGGAGCTGAAGACCCCGGGTTTGGCCTGAGGCAGTGAGGAACTAGGCAGTCTTCCTGCTGAGAGGTGGCTGTGACTGTGTGCCACTGGCAGTGGTCAGGGTTAATGACAGCCCTGGGTGGGGTGGTGGTGGGGTCAGGGACACGTGGCTCCTCTTGAGCCTCTCGCTTCGCAGGTTGCTTCCCATCAGGACTCCCATTATTTTTCCTGTGTTCCCCCAGGTGGAGGCCGTCATTCATCCTCGATTCCTGGCCGACCTGCTGTCCCCAGAGCAGCAGAGGGACCCGTTGGCCTTAATGGAGGAGCTGGAGCAGGAAGAAGGACTCAGCCTTGCCCAGGTACACCTGGGAGGTAGAAGTGTCACAGTAGGAAGCTTGTGTGACTATGTCTAGCCCTCCTCTGTCCTGGATGGTGGAACTCCTGGAGATGGACGGCCCCGGGGTTGGGGTTCAGGTTCAGGCCAAGCAGGCAAGACATTGTGGACACTCAGGGATGGGGAGCAAGTGTGCAGGATCAGAGCATGGGGATGCAGCCCATAGGGGCAACAGGAGGGGTGGCATCTGCTTTTGGTGCTGGGACCCGTGCCACTTGCTGGCATCCCTGCCCCGCACAGTACTGTCTCCTCACTGCCTCTGAGAGAGCCCTTCTCTCGGCCGCCTGGGGGACCATGTCTCCCTGTTCTCCTTCTAGCTGGTCCAGAAGAGGCTCCTGGCCTTGGAGGAGGAGGATGCGGAGGCCCCTCCTAGTTGCAGCGGAGCTCCGTCGGACTCTAGTCCCTCTGGTTCGGACGAGGATGAAGATGGGGGTGGGCGGCTTTGGCCCTCCCCTGGGCCTCGGGTTGCTGGGGGTGCTGTTCACTTGGGAAAGGCTGCTTCTCCAGGAGAACAGGGGAGAGAAGTCCAGGGTGGGGAGCGGGCTGTCGACGGCCTCCAAGAGGTGCACAGAGATGGGAATGCCGTGCCACCCCCCAGCAGCTGGGACCTGCAGCTGGACCTTCCAGCTCCACAGGGGCCTCGAGGGTCCAGAAACATGGAGAAGAGAGGGGCCAGGAAGGTGACAAATCAGATGTCCCCACATGGGGTTGACCCTCTAGGAGGTGTCATGTCACTGGGGCAGCCCCTGGTGGTTGACAGAATTGCCGAGACTCTGCCCCTTTGTTGGCAGGGAGGCCCCCCACCTGACCCGGGTTCCGGTTTGGGTGTGCGACTTGTAGAGCTGGCTCCTCTGCAAGGACAAGGGTCAGAAGAGCAGGTCCTGGGGCTGCAGACAGGACAGGGGCTAGGGGGGCCTGCAGTGCTTCCTCAAGAGATGGAGCCGTGTGCAGTGCCCCAGAAAGGCTCTTCAGGAGCCATGTGGGGGGATGACGGAGGTCCTCCGGGGGTTTCCAGTTACAATGAGAACCCCTCCCCCAGAGCGGCTGGTGACAGGGATGGGGATGTAGTCTCCCTCAGTCGGGGACTTTGGCTGAGCAGTGAGCTGGCCGCCGTGGGCTTGGAGTTGCCCTTACAAATGGAGGAGGTCATAGAGAACTTCCACAGCAGGGAGAGTGTCACTGAGCATCAGGGAGGCTGCCAGGCAGGGGGCTCCAGCAGCAGCAGTTCTCAGGGTCCTGGAGAAACCGTGGCACCTGGAGACGAGGGGGGCAGTGCAGTTCCCTGCGGAGGCACAACTGGCACATCTGCCCTGCAGAAGAGAAACGACTGCAGCCTGCCGGGCCCTCTGGTGGCCAGCAGCCCATCCTTGAGGCCTAACGTAAACTCCGAACAGGGCCCTGAGGCTGCCGGGGATCCCAGTAGTGGTCTGTGGGTGGAAGGATGCCCCCCTTTGCCGGAAGGCAGACTCAGTGCCCCCACCCTGGGACCTCCCAGAGAAACCCTTCAGCCCGCGTGTCCTGGCAACGTCCTGGTGCTGGGGGCCCAGGGTGTCCCCTCCTTTCCCCAGGCCGCTCTGGGGCCGTGGAGCGGAGGCCAGTCCAGTTCTCCTGTGTTGGAAGCCACAGAACAACACGTCCACCTACTGGATATTGGAGATGTCTGCGGCCTCCAGCTCGGGGGCCGTGAGGACATGGGCCCACCGCAGTTTACTTCCTATGCCACCCGGGGCCGGGGCAGGGAGGATGCTGACCTCCGGCAGCCTCCCGGCTTTGAGTCCCTCTCAGGGAATCGGGAGTCTCAGGCCCAGGGGCCGCCCAAAGCCGCGTGTCCCTGCCAGGGCCTGGGGCCCCCGAGCGATCGGTGGGGCGCCAGGGCCACCCTGGTTCTCTCAGGGGCCTCTCCTCTCAGTGAGTCCTGCAGCTCTGCGGACGGGGCCAGAGGGAAGCAGGGGGGCGAGGGGCAGGAGGAGGACGAGGGGCTCTCGGGCTTCGCCTACCTCCTGGCGTCCAAGCTGAGCCTGTCGCCGCGGGACCCTGCCCTGGGCCCTCAGCCAGCCCCGGGCCTGGCCCCGACGGCGCGGGGGCCCCACGGAGCGCGCCCCTGCCTGTCCACGGAGGTGGGCAGCCTCGACCCGGCCCCACGTGCCGCTGCTGCGCCTGGGAGGAGGACGGTGGGCGCGGGAGGCCCGGCTCCGGCTGCCGAGGGGCCCTACCCTGGCGCCCAGCCCGGCGTCTGCGGGGACGAGTCCCCAGGGCGGGCCCCACAGCCCCGCAAGCGGCGGCGGGACACCTTTGCCAGCGGCCGAAGGAAGAAACGGCGCCGTAGCCGGTAGGGGCGGGACCCCGAGCCCACCCGCCGGCCGCCCCGGGCAGGTCCGCACCCGGCACCCCGGGCGTCAGCCACGCTACTGCTGGGGCGGGGGGGGCGGGAGTCGCACTGGCTGGGCCGCGCCTCGAGGAGGGAGTCGTATGGGGAAGGGAAAAATAAAGACTGTTCTGGTTGTCGGGAAACGCTTGCCAAGTGCTCTTCCATGCTCGGGTCCCAGCGGTCAGGCTGGGAGGTGCTGAAGGGGCTGCAGGTGGTCCCAGGCCCCAGATGTGGGCACCTCCGAGCCTCCAGGTCAGCTCACTCCCTGAGAAGCTCCGGCCCTGGGACGTCCCCAGGGACCACCTTGCCTCTCCCCGTCCACACCCAAGAGCCTAGACTGGACAGGCCACTGCTATTGGGCTCCCTTGAAAAGTCTGTAGGATGGAAAGATGCCTTTTTTTTTTTTTAAACCTATCAGATCTCTGGGTTAGAGATCTAATTTCCTAAACGGAATTAATTTTCCATGCCTCTATCTAGACAGCACCTTTCTTAGGGGGGAAGACTTGTTTTTTCCCCCCTTCCTTGAATAGGCTGGACGGAAGGGGCTTAAATGTCCTCAATGCATCCATCCCCTGGGCAGACACGGTCCTGAAGCTGCTCTGAGCTGCAGGGCGGATGCAGTAGTTCTGGACATTGCTCTCTGCTCCCGGGGGGGGGGGGGGGCTGCATTCTCAGTAGGATTATTAAATATAAAATGGTACTATTTTTTTAATCTCTAACAAGGACAGAACAAGAGGGAATAGGCCGAAAAGAGGTTCCTGAGGAAGTCTGTTAAAATGTGCATGTATATATAACAGCAGGCACACGTAGGACGACAACAGAAGGGGGGGGGCTCCAAGAGCAGAATGACCTCTGCAGGGAGGACTGCCCTGGGGAACCTCAGGCTCTTCCCACTGGAGCAGGCAATTATTAATCCCTTTTGTTCCCAGCTGGTACTATCAATGGAACAGCCTCATTTTTTCTTAAATAGATATAGATATATATTTATATTTATATATAAAATAGTTTCTTACAAAAAAAAAAAAAACAGAAAAAACTTAAACAACAATAACGAAAAAATCAAGCAGGAGCAGAAGTGGGCTTGAGGCCCAGAGAGAGCAGGCCAAGGTGAGCTGGTAGGCGGAGGTGCTCAGTCACCCTTTGGCTTGGGCACTGGCACAGTCCCATTGGCCAGAGCAGCGGGGCTGCTGGGGAAAGAGGCAGGTGGCTTCCGGGACGGGCGCAGGTAGGTGTGGAGGAGTGTCCCGTGGAGCGGGTCATGGAGGGAGAAGTCCTGGAACTGACCTGGACACATCAGTGAGACAAGGAGAAAAGTAAAACGATCCAGGAAGGTGGGGGAGAAGGCAGCTTTAGTCCTTGGGAGTCGGGGTGCCCTGTCCTTCTCAACCTCTGCTTCACTTCTCCAGTCCAAGCTTCCATCCTCCAACCCCCCCATGGGGAACGCCCCCTCCAGCCACGGGCTCTAGTGTTTCCCCACCCCTCCCAGGGGCTGGTGGTGGCAGAGAAGGCTGTGACTCACAGAGGGAAAGGCCTTGGCGGGGTCCCGCCTGGCACAGCTCGGCATGCAAAGTCGCAGCGGCGGGGCGGGGTGACCCCAGCAGCAGGTGCAGGATGGTGCTGAAGCCGTCTTTGTACAGCAGCCGGCCCGCCTCCTCCACTTGCTCCTCGGCAAAGAGCTGGCACACAAGGGACCAAGTCAAGCCCCGTCCTCACGCCCCAGCCTCAGCCCCACAGCGCCCCGCAGGTTGGCCTCACAGGCTCCTCCCCTCTCCCCTCCTGAGAGGGCAGAAGAAGGGCCCCCTGTCTCCCCTGCCCCTTCTGCCCTGGGCCCTTTGTGCAGAACTAGAAACTGCAGAGCTGATGCTCTTGCCCTGTTCTCAGCCAGGCCTCAACGACGACTGGAGTTCTGTAGCCTAGAGAGGGTGGCACTCGGGTGGATGCTGAGCGCTTGGCATCCAGAAGCTACTGGGAACAGTACCCCACATAGGCCTCTTGGGTGGATCGGCAGGGCCACCACATGTCTCCCACCCCAATCCTGCCCCCGACCCTCCTGAGACCTCAAAGGCCAGGCGCATCAGCTCCTCCAGGCTCCTGCCCCCATCCAGAGCTGCCAGTGCCAAAGCCACATCTCGAAAGTCCACCAAACCCTCGGCATCCTGGAGGGAGAAACCCGGGCAGCATGAGGACCAACCCTGCGTTCTCCCTCTTGCCCTGGATTTTGGCTCCTCCCTCTCCTCAGCAAGCACGGAGATGACCTGGTGCCTGCTTGCCCCCAGATCTGTGAGCTCTAAACTCTCCAGGATTCCTCATGGGTTCACTCATCCCCACGCCACCTGGTGACAAAGCTTTCCACAGGGATCTCCCATAAATGCGAGGGAATCCCTCAGGAGTGAAGTTGTTACCATCAAGTGTCTGACGTACCTGGCACTGGAAAAACTGGTTCTCCGCTGACTCAGCCTACCCACTGGAGAACTGGTCTAGCAGACTAAAAGGGGGCCACTGGTATAATTCCCTACCAAAAAACCCAAGGACACCTGCCATGGTGAAACCACGCCACTCCAGTTTTGGCTCCGCTCTCTATAGGCTAGGTGAGAAGCTCCCCCTGACAGTCTGTCCTAAGCCAAGGAATCAGTGCCCCTGGCTCACTCTGAGGATGCTGAGAACCATGGTGTGCATCTTGAACCAAAGGGAGCTCTCGGAGGCCAGTGGTAGTCATTGGCAAATGTTAAGAATCTCCTAGGATTATTATAATGCAACAGGAACATATGATTAAGTCCCAGGAAATCTATGGAGTGCCCACATTCTTGGGATAGCTCAGGAATCCCTCTGAGAAGCTGTGGGTTACTTTTAACAAGCATCGCAAAGACTGGAGTCTCACACCCATCGCCGTCTAACTGTCCCATGTTTTCCCCTCCAGAGGTTACCTTCCCAGCCAACTCCTCCCTGCGACCCGGAGGTGCCCACAACGTTGTATGGTCCCCCGTCTCTGCCAATCTCTAAAGTGGTTTCAGAAACTTAGGGTCCTCACTGACCAATTATTTCTCCATTGTTCCTGCCACAGCGATTAAGACATTGCTCGTCAATGCACCAGGTACTCCATAAAAAACGAGTCTCCCGGTGGAGCTCAGGGGAGGAGCCCCTGACAGCTGCTGTGAGAACACCCTGTGCAGCTTCCAAGCCGGCCACCTCTGCGGCCAGTTGGACAGCGTCCTTCTAGCCTGCCAGTGTCAGCCGCAGGGCAGGGCCTGGGCTCTGGCCCGTGTCCCACCTCCTTTACCTGCTGGAAGTAGCTGAAGGCCCCAGCCGCTGTCTGTGGGTCAGAGAGCTGGAGCTGCTTGGCAAACTCCTCCTGGTTGATTCTCCGGCTGCGGCCTGGCTCTGCCCCGGCATCCACACGGCCAGGGGACAGCCTGCAATGGAGCAGTGTACTCAGCAGCTTCCTGAACACACTGCCCGGGTCCGCAGCCATCCAGCACGGGTGTACCTGTGTTCTCCTGATAAGGACTCTGACTCCCGGCCTCTGAGAGCCAGGCCTCCTTCCTCACTGCGCTTATTCCATAGCTTTCGCTCTCTTTTCACCTCCTTCCTATATTCCGTTATCTTAGAGACAAGTTCCTCTACCTTCCCACATGCTTTTTTACAACTTGCCTTCCTTCTTCCCATTTCTCTCTTCTTTCTTTTCTCCCTCCAGATGCCTGTGCCAAACCCTCCGTTCAAGGTCACTTACCCGGCCTTCCGAAGCACCTTTCCCAGTTCCCAGAGCTGTGGCTCCAGTGCCACCTTCAGCCGGCCCACCACAATCACAGGCAAGCTGCCTACAAACTCACACTCGGTGGCTGGAATGCCCAGGGCCCTATGCAGTGGAGGGCAATGGAACGGGGGTGGGGTGGGGGTGGGGGTGGGAAGGGGAACAAGGCACGAGAGACATTACTGGGTCTGGGCTGCTGAACACGGAGGAGACCAGGCCTCTGAACCACCCTGAGCTCAGCTGTTCAGAGCCCATCCCCCAGCCCACGCCCCCACCCTGCTTGGAACCTCAGTCCTTCACCTGCCCTGGCCTTCTGATGCCACATCTGTGCTATAGGAAATAGTCCATGGGATACTCACTGTGCCATCACCCTCTGGACGTTGTTGGCATACAGGGTGGGGTTCCCGCTCTCCTCTGGGCTGGGGTGGTATACAGGCAGGAACTGAAACACGCATGGCTCTCTCTCATCATGACCTCAAAGCTGTGGGGGACCACCCCCCCTCTTCTCCCTCCAGGGGTTCAGCCTGGCAGTATGGGAAATGTGGGGAGGTATCCTACCTCCACGTCCACGATGCTGCAGGGCTGAGAGGCTGTGAGCCACAAGACCTTCAGTCTAAGAGAAGAGAGACCTCAGATGCTCAGCAGTCTCTAACCAGGGGGCCTCCCACCCTAAGGAGGGGAGTGGGAAAGTTCCACCCACTCATGTAAAGTGGCCCCCTAACCATCTGGTGGGCTGGGCAGGTGTGTAGCAGGGACACACAGGGCAGGGGCCCCTAACCACCCGGTGGGCTGGGCAGGTGTGCAGCCAGGACACAGAGGGCAGGGCCAGAAGGCGGGAGGGCAAGAGAGAGGCTGACAGGGACGGGCTGGGGATGACCTGCCAGGGACAAGGTGTGAGCAACGACAGAAGAGGTGAGGCAGGCCTGCTGGTTCCCAAGTAGGGCCGCAGCGGGGAGACCACTTAGAACATGGCCGGGGAGTCAGAGGAGCTCGAATATGGCAGAAGAGTTGCAGGGGGGTGGCTGCAGGCACTTCGGGATCGTTTGGAGGTGAGAACAAACCGGGAAGCAGGCACCCCCTTCTCTAGAGTAGAGGTATCTTAAGGTGACAGTGACGAAGGTCTGTCTCGTCTGGAGACTGGAAGACGAGCCAGGACTTCTCTGGGGGCCCTGCTCCCACCCTCACCCCAGGGACCCCGAGACTCACACTCCAGGGCCCCTCCATGCCCAGCTGGTGGTATCCTGAGGAGAAGCAGAGGCCAGGGGACACATGTGTCACTTTTCATCCCGGCTGAGCCTCCTCGGGGAAAGCTCCCCCCTCCCCAGGTTCCCGTTCCCACCCCGCAAACCCATCCCACCGCCACAGGCAACGCTGCCACTGATTAAGGGTGGATGCGTGCTCCCCGCATCCTCCCCTGGACTCAGACTCACCAGACTGTTGGGGTATTGGATGAGGACGGGCTGTACAGGAACCCCGGCGATGAAGGCTCCTGAATCCCAGTCCCACCCCCCAGCCCCAGACAGAGGTTAGTTCATGGAGGCAGCTAGAAAGCAAGAGTGTCAGGTTCTGGGACGGTTCTGAAATGACGTCTGGTCTGGCTCCGCTTCGTTATAGTTTTCTTTCTGACTCCCAGAGACGTCTCAGGGTTGGCCAGGAAGTTCCCTCTCTTCCTTACTGTCGCTGTGCCACTTCCTGGGCCATTCCAGAGTGCCCTCCAAATCTGGGGCTCCTTTTTCCCACAGCCCACCCACCCCCATCATTTTATTCACCTGGCTTGAACTTGAGCAAAGCCTTCTTGTTGGAACAGGTGCCCTCAGGAAAGAATAGTACCTGGGGGGAGAATACCCCTGGAGTGAGCTGGGATGGCCCGAACGGGACAGAGGGGAGAAAAGCCTGTCTGGGAGCACATACAGGGGAGACTCTGACAGGCTTACCCACCTGGGGCCACTTGCCTCCGGAGGTAGCCCGTCTTCGGACCTCCTCCACCACTCTGCGCCGAGACGCTGGGTCATGCCGGGACACGAGGATGGCTTGGTTGAAGCGAAGAAGGGCTGGGGTCCAGAGAGAAGAGGAGTCACTGGATTCCTACCCAGGGGCATTCAAATCCGCAATCTCTCCGCTCCACAGTAGGAGGCACTGGCTTCTCAGTGACCTCTTTGCCCTGGAGACCCTCCTTTCCCTGTGCATTTCCTTGAGGCAAGTGATCAGAGGACCTCCCAACACCTGTGTGCACCAGCCCTTGGGTACTAAGGGGTATCCATTTGCATCTCACTCGCCAGCCATAGGCGATTTCCCTCCTGCCCTCTCCCTTCCCTGGAGGCCCATTCTTCTCTCCAGAGCATCTCGTATTCCTGCCCTTTCTGGCTCAGAGTTGTCATCTCTTCCCTCCTCCACCCCTCTAGTGCTCTCTCACCTCCAATTACAGGCACAGAAAGGTTCTCGGCCGGGACACAACCTTGGGCAGATCACAGGGCAGCAGAACGATGGGGTCGAAGAAAGTGGAGTGGGGAGCAGCAACAAGGACAGGGGCCTGAAGGCGAGAGGCCCGCTGGCCCCGGACACGAATTCGAAGGAAGCCCAGCAGGAAAAAGAGCAGGCGGCTGAGGCCCAGCACCCCATTGTGGCACACAGTCCTGCAGGGCAAGGCCAGGCATCAGCAGAGACGTAGTCCTGTCCCTCATCACCTCCAGGCTTAGGCACCCCAAAACACAGCTGCCCTTGCCTAGTCCTCCATTCCCCTGCCAAGGGGTTGGAGCCGGCCTACTTGGGACAGTCAGGGTGTACCACTGAGAGCTGAGGCCCTGGGTACTGGGTCTGAGCTGGGCTGACCCATGCTACCTGCCCAGGCTGAGGAGCAGCACCTCAGAACCCTTCCTCCCTTTCTTCTCAAGGAGGGAGAAGAAAGGGTAACATGGAAGCAGAGAAGTAGGGTCTCTGGGGGCTGAGCCCCACTTACTTCCTCCATCCAGTAATTGGCTCCTGCAGCTGCTCCTCCGTAAGACCAGCTACTTGCAGCCAGGCGAAGGGCCAGAGGAGAAAGAGGACAATAAAGGCCAGGAGCACTCGGATGGGGGCCAATAGTGCCCCCAGGAGGCAGAACTGCGGAGGGTGGGAGAAAACGCCCCTTCAGGACTGGAAGACCCTGTCTCCACTGCTTCCTTCTCCGCCAGCAATGGGGCAGGGGGCCACCCCCCCTGTAGGTCGGGAGCCAGTGGCGGTGGTGTGGGCACCGGCGGGGACCCAAGGTGAGATGGAGACACCAATAACAGCGACAGGATGAAGGATTCGTAGGATCCGACAGAATTTTTTTAATCATAGGACGCCTCCAGCCCTGGGTGAGGCTGTTCGGAGCCTTTCATGATTCGTGCGGAGGCGCCCGGCGCGGGGCTTGACAGGGAGGGGCCTGGACACAGGTGCCCTCCCCACCGCGCATCCGCAAGTAGCTCCCACGTCCAAGAGCAGCCAGGTGCGCGGTTCTGCTACCCCGGCCCTGGGAGGTGGCAGAGGCTTGGAGCACACAGGGGTCCACTGTCCTGGCCCAGGCCGACCTAGTTCCAGTCCACGGCACTCCCCGGGGACCGGGGGAGGGGGGGGCCAGCACCTGGCTCCCCAGCGCGGAGTCAGGGTTGCCAGGAGCCGGAGTGGCTCCGGGGCTGCCCCGGGGAGGCTGCGGGTAAACACGCCGAGCCCCAGGAGCCCGCCTCCGGGCGGTGAGGGAGCAAACCCTGGACACTCCCTTCCCACGCCCGTGCCCACTTCCTGCAGCCGGGCCCCCGCTCGGCCGCCCCGCCCCCCACCAGGAGGTGCTGCAGTGCGGGGAGCGGGAGCGGGAGGAGGGGGTGTCGGCTCGGCGCCGGGCTCGGGCTCCGGGGCTGCAAACCTCCTCCCTCTAATTTAGAGCCCCGGAGACGCCCCGGCAGGTCCCCGCCCCCACCCCCGCTTCCCGTAGCCCCCACCTCCATGCAGCCTGTCGGCCTCCGCAGGACGGGAAGCGCGTTCCCCAGCGTCCTCCGCCCTCACGGCTCCGTTGTCCCTCACCCTCGAGCCGCCCGTCGCCCCAGCCTGCTCCCTTCCCCAGGAGCCGTCGCCCCCGCCCGCCCGCCCGCCCCTCCCACGCGCTGCTCGGGGCTCCCACCCCGCAGGCCTCTCGCGCATCTCTTCTGCCGAGGCGCGTCCCCGGCTTCGCCTGCGCCCCGCACGGCCTCCCCGCACGGCCCCGCGCGCCCTCCCGACGCCCCCGCTCACACGCTACCTTCACCCTCTGCAGACGGGAGAGGTGCAGCTCGTGCACGAAGGGGTTGGGGGCGGCCGCGGGCTCGGGGGCGGGGTCGCGGGCCCCCGGGCTGCCCTGGCTCATAGCGGCGGGACGCGGCGCGAGCGAGGGCGCCCCAGCCCCGACCCCGGGCCCCGCTCTGCAGAGCAGCGGCTGCGGCTGCAGCGCTCCGGCCGGGGCCCCGCCTGGTGCCGGGCGCCGAGGGGCGGGGAGCAGGCGGCGCGGCCCGGCCCGCGTGGTCCGGGCGCCGCCGAGGGGCGGGGCCTCCAGCGCCCGGGCGCCCCGGCTCCTCCGCGCCCGCCGCCGCCCCTCCGGCCATTGTTCGGCGTCGGCCGCGCTCCGAGGCGCGCTGCCCCCGGCCCGCGTCCCCGGGCGGTCCCCTCGGAACGGGGCCGCGGGGTAGGCGCGGAGCTGGGAGCGTCCTGCGACCCTGCCCGGGCGTCGAGGTCACCGCGGGAGCGCGGGGGCGGCCCTTGGCGCTGGCGCCGCAGGAGAGGAGCGGAGCGCGCCGCGCGGGGGCTCGACCGGGGGCGGGCGGGGCCTGCTCTCCCCGGTTCGCCCGCTCCCTGCCGCTTCCCCCGGTGCCCGCGCCCCCCCCCCGCTCCCCCGCGGGCTCCGGCCACCTTGCACCGGTCACGGCGTTGCGGTGGCGGGAGAACTCGGGGCGCTCGTGCCCTCTGGCGGCCGTGGGGGGCTCAGCCTCGGCGGCCCCGCCCCCCCCCCCCCCCCCGGCCGCTCCCCGCCCCCGCCAGGTGCTTCCCTGAACCCGCGACGCCTGGCAGCCGGAGGGCCCGTGGGGCCCGGGAGGCCTCCCTTCCAGCCTAGCCCTAGTGTCTCCTCCGCGGGCGCCCTGCGGAGTCTGCGGCCTTCACGCTCGAGCTGCAGCCGTCTCGGGAGGCTCGAGAAGCGCCAGCGCCGGGGCGCCAGGCGGCGGGGGTCACAGAGGTCGGCAGCCTTGAAGCCCGGAGCGGGGAGCCCAGTCCCTAAGGTGACGCCGCGACCGGACAGACGGGAACGTCGCCGCAGGTGGAGGAAGCCCTGGGTTCGCCCCGCTGCTCTCAAGCTCCCGGGCGGGCCGCAGCACAGCATCAGCGCCCCCGACGGAGGCTGCAGTCTCCTTCGGCTACCCCAGGTCCCCTGCCTCCCTCCCGGCCCCATCGTGGACGTGCTGGATACCGACCCGGGCTCCCGACAGCATCCGCATTCTCGGGGAAAGAGCCGGATATCCTAACCAGAATTTATGTATTTCTTAAACACTTGGAAAAGATTCAGGGGCTCACTTACCTATTAAAAAACTTAAAAATCGGGATCCCTGGGTGGCGCAGCGGTTTGGCGCCTGCCTTTGGCCCAGGACACGATCCTGGAGACCCGGGATCGAATCCCACGTCGGGCTCCTGGTGCATGGAGCCTGCTTCTCCCTCTGCCTGTGTCTCTGCCTCTCTCTCTCTGTGTGTGACTATCATAAATAAATAAAAATTAAAAAAAACTTAAAAATCATTTCTAGCTTTATTGAGAAATTACTGACATGAGTTGAAGGTGTGCAATATGATGATCAGGTACATGTATATCTTCTATCTCCTTTCTAAGGCAGAGCAGGTTTCTATACATCTTGGGTTTCCCCAGGTAGTTAAAATATTTTCATGATTTTTTTCTTCAATTAAGGCAAGTCGTTAAATGCAGGGTTACACACGATTTGCTTTTTATGCATTTAATATTTTAACATGAATTATCTATAACCGCACCAGGAAGAGTTATCAAGCATAGGACTCAAACCCATAGAGTAATAATGATTATATGTAAATTGCTATGTAATTAAACGAAGCATGACTACATATGATCAATGATGTACAGAGAAAGTTTTGATACTAATTTCTGATTCTATGGCATTGATGAAAATCCTTAGGCAATGCATCTGGTACAGGTATCTGTTCTCTTATCATTGTCTTGTTCACCTTCTATGTCTTCTGCAATGTTCTCTCTCCTTGACACTTTCTGATGGGATGTTGCTTCCTTGTTTCAGGTTTCTTGTCACTGGTTGCAGATCCAACTCAGTGTCTGTGACAGTTTTTAACATTTTAAATAAACCTTCATTAACTTTTTGCAAACATGTCCTGCAAATGTGCATGCTATTAGCTGCTCATTGCCCGGGGTAGTTTCTTTGTCTTTGCACCTCTGCTCTCCATCTTTTTCTAACTTGGATGTGCTGGTACTGCCAGTGCTGGACTGACAGGATGGAGGTTCATTCATACTTTGTCTTTTTTTGTAAACTCTTTGGGATTTGTATTTTTTTTTAGATTTTATTTATTTATTCATAGACAGAGAGAGAGAGAGAGAGAGAGAGAGAGAGAGAGAGAGGCAGATACACAGGCAGAGGGAGAAGCAGGCTCCATGCAGGGAGCCCAATGTGGGACTCGATCCCGGGTCCCTAGGATCACACCCCAGGCTGCAGGCAGCTCCAAACCGCTGCACCACCGGGGCTGCCCACTCTGGGATTTGTAGTGGACAAGTTGGTCCTTTCTCCCTGTTTCTCCTTAATAGAACCCTGATTCAGTTCAAGTACCTAGCTGCCTCACATGCCTGTTGAACTCAGGGGCAGTCAGTTTGGGTGAAACCTATCTGAGGTCATCCTTTTCTCTTGGTCAGTGGTTGGTTTGGAAAGGGTGTGCGACTCTGGACAGTGAGACATGAATGAATATCTGAGGAGCTTCTGGGAAGTTTCCATACTTTTCCTGAAAAATGCCTTACAAATTAACACTCTCTTTTTATCCTCTGGATATTTCTAGATGTGACACCTTTGACTATTGGAGCTATCTTAGAACTATCTGAAGATCAAGCATCACATAGGATCGCAGAGTGGTGAGAGGCAAAGAATCCGAATCCTTGATGACAGATTGAGCCTCTGAGCAAACCTAATTGAAGTCTGAAGTACTTCTGGACAAAATAAATTTCTCTGTTCATTAGCCCAATTTAAGTCGGAGGTTCTGCTACATGCAAAAAAACCACTTTGGTTTTCTGTTGCCGTATAACACTTGCCTTAAAATTAGCAGCTTACGGGGCCTGGGTGGCTCAGCTGGTTAAGGGTCTGCCTTCAGCTTAGGTCGTGATACCCGGGTCCTGGGATTGAGCCCCACGTCAGGCTCCCTGCTTAGTGGAGAGTCTGCTTCTCCCTCTGCCTGTCTCTGCTCAGGTTCTTTCTCTCTCACTCATTCTCTTTCTCAAGTAAATAAATAAAATTTGAAAAAATATTAGCAGCTTATAACAGCCTCTATTTATTATCACTGTTTCTCCAGGTCAGAGGTCCAGCTTAGCTAGGTCCTCTGCTTGGGGTCTCACAAGGCTGAAGTTAAGGAGTTGCCAGGGCCATATTTTCTCTTCTGGAGGCTTGACTAGGGAAGGATCTGTTTCCAAGCCTCTTCCGTTGTTGTTGGCAGAGTTCATTTCCTTGAGGCTGGAGAATTTATGATAGCTTGATTTTACTGCCAGCACCAGAGAGTCTAAACTCCAGCCTCTCTTAAAGGACTCACCTGATTAGGTCAGACCCACCCAGGATATCACGTTTGATTAACTCAAAGTCAACTAATTAGGGACTACTACTACTAATACGGCTACATATATATTGTGAATTCTATCATTTATCCAGCTTGCAGATAATATTTGGCATTTATGTTGATTTCTTAGGCCCCTTGGAATTGCTCCATGCAGTAGTATACTTAGCATAATTGACCCTGAGGTGGGGACCTCATGCCAAAGAGCTTGTGTTCTCTCTCTGAAATGTGGGGGCACGTGCGAAGGCTGACATCTGTAAGCCAGGAAGAAAGCCCTTACTATAAACAGACTGGGATCTCAGACTTCCAACCTCCAAAGCTGTGAGAAAATAAATTTCTGTTTCTCCAGCCACCCATGGTATTTTGTCAGCTGAGACACTATCACTACGCCATCATTGTTTATGTTAAAGCTGTTTATTTTTTTTATTTTTTTTAAAGATTTTATTTATTTATTCATGAGAAACAGAGAGAGAGAGAGAAAGAGGCAGAGACACAGGTAGAGGGAGAAGCAGGCTCCACGCAGGGATCCTGACATGGGACTCGATCCCGGGTCTCCAGGATCACACCCTGGGCTGCAGGCGGCGCTAAACCGCTGAGCCACCAGGGCTGCCCTATGTTAAAGCTGTTTAAATGTAGGAATATGGAGTTCTACGGAGGCTGGAGACACAAAGGATTCCCGAAGTAGTCTGGAATGATTCTGGACCTTTGCAAACTTTCTAAATGAATGAGAATTGCTCCTGAATCTCCTTGTGTCTGGGGGCAGTTGCACAACTGAGAGGCCTTTGAGTTAAATTCCATGCAGACTGCAATGTTTATTAAAGTACAAGCAATAAAAGTGTTGAACTTGAAGCTTAGACAGATACTAAAACTCAAAACTAACCACAGTGATTGTTTAAAACTTGGATTCATAGGATATTTTTTTTTGGAGGAGTATTTGATCATTGACATTGTTCAGAATTGCTGATGCATAGTGATAATAAAATGCTGACTGATTTCTAGCCCATTTAATTATTGTTTTTATGTTTTCTATGGACAACACACACTTTTATTGCCTTGCACCTGGGGCTGACCTCTTCATCAACCTGGCCGTGGGACCCTGCTGACTCCATGATCTCTTAGGTTCTTGTTTCATAGGTTGGAAACCACTGGTCTAGCTTGGGAGGCTGGGAAGATTTTGGGCTGACATGTTTTACACACATTCATTGGGAGGCACCGGCCAGATCCAGGTCATTCATTGTCTAGTAGGCCTTTCAGAATGTGGATCTGGGGACACATGGGTGGCTCAGGGGTTGAGCACCTGCCTTTGGCCCAGGGCGTGATCCCAGAGTTCTGGGATCGAGTCTTGCATCAGGCTTCCCTGCAAGGAGCCTGCTTCTCCCTCTGCCTGTGTCTCTGCCTCTCTCTCTGCATCTCTCATGAATAAATAAATAAAATCTTAAAAAAAAAAGAAGAATGTGGATCTGGAGCTTGACGATGGAGATAAATATTTTGGAGAAGTCTGTGCATGTGGTAGGGAAATCAAAATTAGGAGTGTATTTCCCACATGCTTTTGAGATCAAATGTATTTGTTTGTTTCAGAGGGATCTTAAAGCAGGAGGGAATTCTGACAAATCATCTTGTCTGTTT